CACACACACACACGCACGCACGCACGCACGCACGCACGCACGCACGCACGCACGCACGCACGCACGCACGCACGCACGCACGCACGCACGCACACATATTGTGTATACTGTTCAATTTCAATGAAAAGCATTCTATAGAGTGTTTTTTTTAACTTGATCATCTAAATTATCTAAAATATTTCCGTTGCTTTTGTAATGAAAAAATATCAAAGGAGAAAGCTGTTCGATTCGAAGAGGCACATATTATGAGGAGCAAAAAATTTTTCTCAAAGTCATATTTTTTGAGACTTCAAAGTCTCTACTTTTTTAAAATGGAATTGTATAATTTTTTTGCACAATATGATATAAAAAATATGATATATCTCGAGAAAAATTGTTTGCTTATCGTAATATGTGCCCCTTCAAATCAAACAACTTTCTCCTTTGGTATTTTCTCGTATCATTAAAAACAACGGAGATATTTTAAATGATCAAGTTAAAGAAAACACCCTGTATATTGGATTGTTGTTTTAATTATATTTTTCACGTTCTGTAGAGTGAGTCACAGAAAGGTTGCAGTACTTTTTTTCGATGAGTTTTGGAATGCAGTCTGCTCATCGAAGAGATTAGTTCTCTTATTTACAGATCTAACCATTTACGTTCAATAGCTCTACGAGCAAGGCTGAAACCCATTGAAAAAAGTGTTGCAATTTTTCTGTTATCCACTGTACTTTTTTTACTTTTTTTAAAATTTAAATGTAAATATTTGTTTTTTTTCAATTTTTATTAGTTATATAAATCACGAAATAAATTAATCATAAGAAATATATATCATTAACTATGAATGAGAAAATGCAAAAAAATGCTGTTAAAACGAGCAATCTAAATGTTTTGAATGAAACATGCATGTATACATAGCGACTCAATTCCATTCTAGTAAATTTGACGATAGCTTAGAAACGTTTCTCGATTCCAGACCAGACGATGAATCCTTTTGATACTTCTTGTGTCCTTGACTGCTGTTGCGACTATTCGCGTGCGCGAATAAATTAATTCCAACAGATGCTGTGTCGAGCCATTTCGGCAATTTAGGCATTCGCGAATTTGCATATCGTTTGTTTAAAGCTAGTCACACACACTTTCCATAACAGTAACAGTAAGGTTTTCGACCAATCGCGTTGCTCGATTGTTATGATTACGGTTACGAATGACCGAATCGAGCAATGCGATTGGTCGAAAACGTACGTTACGTTTACGATTACTATTATGGAAAATGTGTGTGACCAGCCATAGCACGAAGTGTAAACTGCTATAAAATTAGTGAAATTTTGAAAGCGCGAAGAAGTAACGCGCTTATATTTTAATCGATATGAATCACACACTTCTGTAATTGAGATGCAATGAAAAATATAAGTATGTTATCAATTCTTCTACTGTTTTTTATTTTGATTTTGTCATATTTTTTATCAGAGCTAACGTTATTTCAATATTAATATTGTTACTCTAAATAAAATAATGAATATCGCATAAAGACTCTGTGATGAAATTTTACGAGATTTTGTGTTTTATTTTGAGCAACACATAAGTATATAATACTGAGATTTATTAATCTGTGAAGAACTCCATTGTAGATTTTACAAATCAAATCTTTATCATGATTATAATGTTAAAAAAAATGATAAAGTATACATGTTTCGCCATATATAATAAATAAGCTACAAATGAATAAAATGTGATAAGAGTGTGTGTGTGTGTGTGTGTGTGTGTGTGTGTTTTGAAAATGTATTTTAACTCACAATACATTATAACTCACGTATTTCGTTATCCAAAAATCATGCCGAGCTTTATTCGTATTCGTCATTAATTAACACCTCTATATCTTTATCTTGCTAATTCTTGCTAATGCGCGCGAAAGTGCAACAAGTTGCAAACAATTAGCATCTTCTCTCGAAATATATATCTATCATTATTATTCAACGAAAAACCGATTTGTATGTAAAGTATTTATGTAAATTGAATCGATTAAAATTACAAAAACTTCAAAATAGGACTGCAACACAATGATTCACATTTAGATTTTCTAAACAACGATATTCGGAACATCCACGAATTTTCCTTTTCTTTCAAGACTTTTTCAAGAATTCTGTTTATATCTTAAAACAGGATATTAAAAGTTTTGAATCTTAAAGGTATGAATCTATAAACTAATAAAATTTTCTAACGATGAAATTGAAAATTCAAGAAATCTTGCTTTTCTAAAATAGAAGACGCTAGAAATGAAAATGTCCATAGTTTTTGTGTTTTGTATAAATTAGAGAAATTCAGAACTGTTATACAATTTCTTTCAATATCTCGAAACTCTAGAACTTCAACGTCCTTTTACATCTTAAAATCGAGATTTAAAAAATTTAATTCAAACGAATCGAAATAATTGCAATTTCCTAAAAGAAGTTGAAGAAATTTCCTTATGCTCCTGAAAGAAAATGAAAAATATCAGAATTAAAAAATGCGAAATTTTTTGTCGTTTGCAGCTGACGCCGGAGGACGAGGAACGACGCCGGCGACGACGCGAGCGCAACAAGATTGCAGCGACCAAGTGCCGACTGAAAAAGCGCGAGAAAACGGTGATCCTTGTACAGGAATCCGAAATTCTCGAGACCCAAAACCTGGACCTGAAGTCACAAATCCAAGAGTTAGAGACTCAGAGGCGCAGGCTGGTCGACATGCTGAGTCTCCACAGTCCGACCTGTTTGAAGCAGGGCGTGGACGCAACGTCGTACCAGCAGTTCGCCGAGCCCCTTCATCTGCCTAGTTATCAGGAAAATTTTGTGCCACAACCCCCGCCGGCCCTTAATCAGCCACAGAACTGCGTCACCGATTACCCGGTGAAGGTCGAGGAGTACGAGACCGATTTCTACCGACAGGGTAGTCCATTCGTGCCGACAACATCGGATGCCGGTTGCACGGTTTAGCAAAACGGCGAAAATCGTTCTTATTCTTCGTTTCGAGGGAGGGAGGATCGTTGAGAAGCTCGGAACGCGTATATAATTGAAGGTTCTTGAAGTGTTAGAGGCGGTCTCATTAACGTTATTTTAATTTTGTCAAGATACAGAACTTCAAAAAATATCTAAGAAATACACACACACACACACACACACACACATGCGCGCGCGTACTTTTATAAAATATATATATTTTTTGTTTCATAGACATGATAAAATTAATAAAGATCAAAAATTGAGGTAAATATTAATTGACGCTAGTGAAAATAACTCTTTTTGAATTTAATTTTAAAGATTTGTAATTTTTATACAACTCGGTTATTTATCACCTACGTGTTCGCAAATTAAATCCTTGTATAAAATTTCATTGAATTGAAAACTATGATTAAATATTTAAAAGAAATTTTATTTACTATATTCTATAGTTTGCATATTAGGATTTTATTTCACATTTTATAAGTTTTAATTATTAACATAATATGTAAATTATTATGTAAAAGTTGTAGTTTGGAATTATTTATTTTGAACAGTATACTTTGCACGATAAAATGGTTGACGTCAGGATGCCGATAATGGCAGGATTATATGCATTCCATATACAAGGTATTGGAGAAAGTGATTTCGTTGATTATCTTTAATTTTTATTTCGCTAATTTTTGTAATTTAATTTTTAACACTTTAGTTTTCTAAGCCGTCCGAGCTTCTCACCATTCGTCTCTCCCGATTGTAAGTCCATAGCTCGTAAGTCGATTATTATATCATAAACGCGAATAATAATTTTTATCTTTCGTCTTCCTCTTCATCCATCAATCTTTCCTTTCTCTTTTTTCTCTTTCACTTTTTCCTCCTCCTTTTTTTCTAACGAGCTCTTGTTATACTCGAAAAACGTTCGACGTAGAGAACGCTTGAAGACATTCCTTCGTAATAACCGTACTGTGACATTCTCTTATAAGGCCTTTAATTGTATAATCGATAATGTAAGATAAAGACGGATTATCTAGTGATGCTCATTCTTTTGCAAGAATTATTATTATTATTATTATTATTATCATTGTTATTATTATTTAGAATAAAATTATTAAATTACAATGTATTAATAGAAAAATTTTATCCGTGATTAAGAGGATGCTGGAGCCGTCTGTGTTACCATAAAACCATTGACGTTTTTGTTCCTGTCAAATTTTTTCGTAGTTTCAGAAATAAAAATTTCTGTTCCACAGAATAAAAATTCCTTTTCCACGATTAAAATGTATATGCTAATGTACTTGTCGCTGGTGTATTTTGTGTTCAAAGCTGGAAGAAATAAAAAAATACAGATTTCTTTATCCATTTTACCTTCAGCGTTGGTCTCATACTGAAATAAAAATGGATTAAAAAATCTGTATTTTTTTATTTTTTCTAGCTTTGGACATGAACTACACCAGCGACAAGTACATTAGCATGTACATTTTAATCGTGGAAAAAGAATTTTTATTCTGTGAAACCATTACGAAGAAATTCAACAGGAACAAAAACGTTAACAACGCTAGTTTTATCGGTAATACAGACGGCTCCACTATCCCTTTAAAAATATTAATTTTTATTAATTGCATTATTAATTTTCTAATTTTTAAAAATTGTTTATAATTTCAGTTAATTAAAAAAAAATCTTCTCTATTAATAATAAGATTTTGAAAGTCTGCTTCTACATTTTTCAGTGAATTCAGCTGAATATATTATCCTTTTTTTATTTTTTATGTTTGTCGCGTCAATGAAAAAACTAGTAAGACAAGGGCATCGCTAAAACATGATCCGTCGTTAATAATAAGCGAAAATCGAGACCGCAAATATTACCGAATATTAACGAATTGAAGAGAATTATTTTCAAATCGCTTTAAAGCCACACGCTTTGAAAAATACAGGAAGATTAAAAAAATTTCGATTATACAATATTTTATATTCTAAAAATTTGTTTGAGAATTTGAAGATTTTGGAAATTTTTGTATGTAATTTAATACACAATAATATGCGGGTAATTTCCACTTAAGAAAAGGTTTAAAACGTTTTGGAAATAAGTAATTCTCTAATTTCGTGTCTCAAAGTGCGTGTCTCGGATTTGCAACAGTGAGAAAGAGAGTACACGCGAGTACCCCGGTGTAAGTAAGTCTTCTTTATCATTGATATTGATTATCAAGGAATCGATAACGTGTGCGTTCAGAGGATACTTATAATTATATGAGTAATGAGAATGATATTTAATATTACATATATATATATATAT